ATATTAAAACAAATTTTATTTTGCTGGTTAGCAGAAAACCGTATTTTCCAAGACACAGAATGGAGGTTTACAGTTGGAGCTTCCTACAATAAAGTCTGGAAATTGAGTTAATGTTTCCAAAAAAAAGGGAGGGAGTTCCAAAATATTCTGTTCAACTTGCAACTTTGGATCTGTTAAAATCAAAGGCGCAACTTCCAACACAATCGCGATGAGATTTTAAAATTTTTAAGTTTTATATTTAATTTATTTTTGAAGAAAAGTATGAAGACTTTTTAGCAAAAAACTCACATTCAAAAAGTCCATTTACACTCCATTATATTGAAAAAAATATATATATATACATATGTGTTGCTGATGAACCGAGAACTGTACTTTCCGAGGCGCCAAATGGAAGTTTGGAGCGTATTCTTCTAAAAATGAAGTTTCAAACTAAGCTTAATTATAACGGCTTGACTGACACAACAGAAAAGCCAAAGTCGTATTAACGGGATTCATAAAAAAAGATGATAAAACATGGTAGTCCGTAGGTAAATGCGGAGTCAAGACGAGCAACTATACGAAGTAGTTGAAAATAGAAAGCAGCGAAAAATGGTTTTTCATGACTGATTCTTAGGGTTTTCTGCTGAATTTATTAGGAACATTTAAGAGTTGTTAGGCTGCCATCGAAATGCTCCATCTCCACGTAGCGAATAGGAAAATCACTGCAAAGTCACGAAATAAAATATAAGAAATAAATGTGATAAAAAATTATAAAGAAGAACAAAACTTGTCGCCTTGTATTGCGATTGTAAAAATTTTGTTGTCTTTGTTCCTATTCTTCAAATAGTTTCACTCTTCCCAGCAGGGGCCACTGGTTCATCAGCATCTACTTTCTTTATTTGCTTTAATGTTTCCACTCCTTAGAGTATTTTTCGGCTCGTTTCCTTAATTTAATTCGCCCGTTAACAGCTCTGTCTTGTTCAAATTTTAGTACCACGACTTGATTAGTATTTGTGTTACCACCATAAAAATTTTACTGTGCATTTATTGCGGGTTGCATTGTTTTCAGTAAGTATATTAACTGAATCAAATTACCATGGGCGTTAAGTGATTGTAAAGTGATAGAAATTTTGATGCTTGGACCAGAGATTAGTAGTAATCTACTAATCTCTGCTTGGACCAAACAAAATAGTGGCTATGACTTTCGCAAGTTTCCTCAAGTTTCTCCTGGTCTTTCAATTATTCCTTCAAATAAGCCTCTCGACCGAGCCAGGCGAGTTATCCGTTGCAAAACCGAGATGGTACCATCTTCGTTGTGTTGAATGTTACCGGCCAGATACCAAGGGACAAGCATGTGTGAAGATACCAAAGTGCATCAAAGGTAAGTAGTACCTATTGTTGAAAATAATCGTGCTTCAAGTTGGACCTTTTTGCTGTTCTAGCTCCTAAAAAGAAATTAATAAATCCGTTTCACCACTGGGCGTCTTAAGCTACAGAGTACAGAAGTGTGTACATATTTAGCGGCTCTCAGATGCAATTAGTTCTCACTTCCGGCGCGCGATTCTCCTTTAACAATTTGCAAAAAACCCGCCCAGAACTTTAATACAACCTTATTATTCTTAACTGGACTGTTATTAAAAGCCTCAGCCGAAAGTTCCGATGAGGATATGTTCATCCATTCATAGCATCCATTGACATCCATAGCATTCCGACCAGCAGGGAAAAAAGAGTAACAAATGAGCGCAAAAACAATAAAAGAAGGTGGCAAGTTGCCACTAAGCAAGAATTATGACTTCAATGAAGGTGGGACGAGGTTTAGCCGGCTTATCCGAGAGCTGGCAGGATATTTGGGCGACTGGAATGATTCTGGAAAGTGGAATGATGTCTTAGGGATCAGTGGCGGGTTTTAGGTCAACTATGATACAACTGAAGGTTATGATGATAAGTGGAAGCAGGTTTTTGGCAGGTTTTACAAAAATTTTCTGTCACTCACCCGTTAAATAAGAGTTAATTTAATTTATTGTTTGATATTGAAGCTAAATTATGCGCATATGGAGGACTTCAGTAAACGCCAGTAAAATGTGTTTGATTGAAGTGTTTTAGTTTGCAGTATGAATATCAGGGATTTTTAGAAAAGTTGTTCCCAACTAATTGTATTTCTCGTTGCTTTTAATGGAAAGTGTAAACGTGTGCTGTAGGCGGAGGGCCGATTTGCTAAAGCTAAAAGTAAATGCACAGAAGATTTAATTCTTAATGAGTAAAATATGTAACACATTAATTTGTAAACGTTAAACTTTGATCCTGAAAGAGATTTTAGGTTTAGTGTTTGAGCTTTCCAGTCTTGAACGAGCCAACTGTAAACGCCTGGCAATCGGTTCTTTAAAAGTTTATTGGCTAATTTTGAAAAAAAAAGAGAAAGTTCTAATTACTTAACACTGAGACCAACCTTAAAACGCGAAGGAAACTTTTGGATCTTTGAACTTCAAAAAGTAAAGTTTTAAATTGAGCTTAACTTGTATGAAAAATTGCAAAGCTATTATAATAGAAAAATTACAAAGCTGTTTCGTTTATTTTCAGGTAGAGAAAATTATATATCAACACAAAATCCCAGATGAATGGCGAACCAGCACTACTGTGCTAATGTTCAAAAAAAGGAGACAGGAGGATACCATCAAATTATAGAGGAATAAACCTTTTAAGCACTGCTCTAAAACTAGCAACTAAAGTAATTACGAACAAAATCAACAATCTTACATTGGAACTATTATTTCCGAGGCTCAAATCCGGTGCGGAGTGTGAATTTTCAAAAATAAAAACTCGAACAAAACTGGTTGGACCGGATACTTCCAAAAATAAATTTTGAAACTAAGCTTAATTATAACGAAAAGTTGCAAAATATTGCATACAACTTGTGAATTACAATGAAAAATTTTAGAAGACATCGAAAAACAGCAGGAAAGAAAGTCTGCAAGAAATCTGTCAGAAAAAAGAAAAGATGAAAACAAGAGATTTCAAAAGCAATGTGATCCTGCAATTTGCAGTCAAAAAGAGCTACTATAAGTAGTTGAGAATAGAAAGCAATGAAAAATAGATTTTCATGACTTTTTAATTTATTAGGACCTTTAAGAGTTGTTAAGCTGCCATCGAAATGCTCCATCTGCAGGCAGCGAATAGGAAAATAGCTGCAAAGTGAAGAGCTAAAATATAAGAAGTAAATGTATAAAAAAAATGAAAGGGGTCGTTTTTATTTTTCTCGCTTTACATTTTGATTATTAAAATGTTGTTGCCTTTGTTGATTATTTTTCAAATAGTTTCACTTTTCCTTCCATGGGCCATTCTTTCATCAGCATCTGCTTTCTTCATTTGCTTTAATGTTTCCACGCCTGAGGCTATTTTTCTGCTCGTCTCTTTAATTTCATTTGTCAGGTAACAGCTCCGTTTTGTTCAACTTTATTACCACGACTTGATTAGTATTTGTGTTTCCACCATAAAAAATCGATTTATTACGAATTGTATTGTTCCAGCAAGTATATTAACTGAATCAAATTACCATATTCGTTATTATACTATAGCTCTGTAAAGTGATTGAAATTTTGATGCTTGGACAAGCGCGTACTATGAGCTTCGCAAGTTTCCTCAAGTTTCTCCTGTTCTTTCAATTATTCATTCAAATAAGCCTGTCGACCGATTCAGGCGACTTATCCGTTGCAAGACCGAGATGGTACTATCTTCGTTGTGTTCAATGTTACCGTCCAGATGCCAAAGGAGAAGCATGTGTAAAGATACCACAGTGCATCAAAAGTAAGTAGTACCTACTGTTGAAAATAATATTGCTTAAAATTGTATCTTTTTTGCTATTCCAGGCCGCGAGTTTTTTGGATACATTATGGGCTAATAAAAGCTACAAAGTACCGAAGTTTGTACATATTTGGCCGCTCCTAGAGGCAATTAGTTCTCACTTCCTCTGCGCGCTTCTCCGTAAACAATTTGCAAAAAACGGCCAGAACTTTAATAAAACTTTATTATTATTAACTGGTCTGTTATTAAAAGCCTCAGCAGAATATTCCGATGAGGATAATGGAAAGCGGCTGCAATGTGAGCATATCTTTGCGTTAGCATATCTCCACTAACAATGGAGGCTAGCATGTCATCCATTCCGACCAGCAAGCGGGAAAAGTAACAAATGAGCGCAAAAACAATAAAAGAAGGTGTTTCTCGCCAGGAAAGTTGACACTAAGCAAGAATTATGACGTCAATGAAGGTAAGACTAGGTTTAGCCGGCTTATCCGAGATCTGGCAGGATATTTGGGCGAGTTGGACGATTCTGGAAAGTGGAATGATGTGTTAGGAATCAGTGGCGCGTTTTAGGTCAACTATGATATAACTGAAACAGACGCTAAGTGGACACAGGCACAAATCTATTTTAGTTGGGAAAATTCACTAAACTCTTTATACAGGTTTTACTACATTTTCCTTTCACTCGCTCTTTAAATGATAGTTAATCTAATTGATTGCCTGCTTTTGAAACTCTAAACTATAATTAAATCAAGTATGAGAGACCTAAAATCGTCAGTTTGGCGTTCTTAAGTTTCACTCGTTGAGGGGATGAGGAAGTGGGAACATACAGACTGCATGAAAAAAAAAACTAAATGAAAGTCGTTTTTGATTCAATTTTAACTTGAAAGTGAGTAAAGCTTCCAAGTACTTAGATCTTAATGCTTTAGAAGTTGCAGTTTCCAAATCTTGAAATGTTATTGAAAAAATCGCATTTTTTCTTGTATCTGCAGTGTCTGGGAAGTTGGCGAAAGTACAACTAAAATAAAAAATAAGCAAAAGGATATTATTTTGAGATTAACAAATTGTTTAAATTTATTTTGCTTTAAATACAGGCAAAGCTCTACTATATCAAAGATAAATATTCATGCCAATTCGATGATTGAAAAGGCGTTACGAAGGAAGCTCATGAATGAGAAAATTCAAGTAGTTTTAACCCAGAAAGTGAAATTTGAATATCACACACTTGGGTGCAAGAGTAGAGTAAAGTAGCCGATTGTCGAATACTGTTTTGTTTTTTAGAAAAATAGAAATGAAAACGTTAACATTATTATAAATATTCTGGAATATAGATAGATATAGATAGAGATGAAGTGTTATAAACAAAAAACCGAAACAATCATAATTTTTTTAAAAGAAAAAGTATGTATTAAAAGCCATTTAAAAAAAGGTGCACTTTTTTCTAGCTCAAAAATGGGTGGGTAATATATTAATGTGAAATAGGTTTAATATTAGACTTGATTTTAAAATAATGTTTTTTTTTTATGTAAAGCAACAGATTATTGGAAAGTAGCATACATTTATTTTATTATGTTACAAAAGACGAAAATAAAAACAATAAATGAACATAAAAATTAGTAATAGGAAGAGTAACTTAGAACAAAATAACTAAGAATAAAAATCACAGATGTATGGGTCTTTTCGGCACCTGCACATTCTTCTTGTGCTCAGCAGTTGCACATAACCCATATTTCTCCGGGAGTATCATTTTGTCTAGCAAGTTGAAAAGCAATAGAGCATAGGTCCCGCCTTGTTAAACCAAAACACTTTTTCTCCATTAACAGAATGTACTCTACCAGTTTGGTTTCTAGCTCTTGAGTTAAAACAGGTTTTCTTCCCAAAGTATCTTTTTTAATATTTTCTACTTCTTTATCATTCTTGCAGTACCGAATAATGTAGAGCGCGGTCGTTGTAGTCTTTAGTAGCCGCCAAATGGCCCATTGCTTTTCTCCGTACCGCGTCTACCGCCATTCTCATGTTTTCTACAGTCCATTTGTGTTCCTTTACATGTCTCAGAGGCAGTTTCTGATATAGCAAACTTATTTTCAAGAAAGCCTTTTATGTGGAATATTCCAAATTCAGACCCTACTTAGTGTTCCATAATAACGACATTTTAAATATTTATAGAACATATTTGTAAAACATTAAAAACAAAATATTAATGAAATATTTAACACAGTTCACAATCACGCTTTACGCTTATACACCAATCTGGCAAAAAAAATTATAAATGTAGTCAGAATAGACGCTGATTTAAACACGTGCAAAAATATAGCGATCGTTACAATTCGTGTTCGAACAAATACTGGCAAATACCAGCAGCGAAATGCTCCATGGTGTTGGTAAGGGTGAAACATTTTAGAAAGAGCTTCTGTTTATGCTATTTTCAAATATATGGCAATATTAGTTTTTTACAAACTTCTT